ATTGTTGTTATTGTTACGATAATACCTAACCCACACAAAATTATATTAAATATGTATGAACAACGGGCGGTCATTAAAAGTTTTTCTTTTTATTGTTTTAAGTCAAAATTCTCTACTCTTTTTTACTACTACTACTTACCAGTGGCGTGTAACCTAGGGTCCAAGTGTTGCTTAAGCAAACCTTCAATGTGGGTGGGTGGGTAGGTGGGTACTGGGTGGGTATTGCTAGAAGGATAATATTACAGTAATGAACATAAGTGTTTTGTGTTAACAATATAAGTATAATTATAGTATTGGAGTAGTGTCGTAGTGAGTACCTACTTATACATGGCTATATCCTATATAGGTACCTAGTTTTATTATTAAAACAAAACGATAGTTGGTATATTATTATTTATAACTAATTATTATTATTTATATTTTATAATGACTAACCGAGAAAATGTTAAAATTATTTTATAAAATGTAAATAAAAATAGAAAAATATCAAATTATGACGTTACGTAATGATTAGACGGTATACCCATAAGACAAAAATATACGGGACCTTCCGGCGACTTCCACTAGTTCCACAGAAAATCTATTTTTAATTTGTAAACATATTGTATTTTGTGGAATATTGGATATTTATTGAAGTAATTTGTCAGTTGTCTAAACTGCAAGGCGTGATTGGTCACAAACTAATATCGAAAAATTCTAAATGCATAGTGCGTTCTTGTTTTCTTGGTTGTAGACGTATTAGAATTTTGTGCATTAAGTACCTATATAGATTATTATTGTACTCATGGCTTAAATATACAAGGTTATTGCAATAGTACCCCCACTATATCATTTTATCACGTTAAGGAATTAAAATGGCAGCGTAAGGGGACGACGTATACAGGCTATATTATGATATGGACCGTACCCTTACGCTGCCATTTTATTTTTATTTGATAACAATTTGGCTATGTGCAATAACCTTGTATATTCAAGCCATGATTGTACTATTATAATTTTTTGTCAATAATAAAAATATAATGTCAGATTCCAATTACGCTGTTTGTTTATGTGGTAAAAAGCGGTTAAAGTTAAATGAAACAAACTGGAAAAGACATTTGACTTTTTGTAAAGTGGCAAAATTAAAAAAAACCAATACCGTTGTGGATGTACAAAATTTTTTACAAAAAAACGTAAAATAGATGAAGATGTACCAGAAACAGGTAAGTACAATATTTTCAATGCTCAAACTATTCCCTTTTAAATATTTATTATTATCATTACAATTATAAATACCTAGTTCTTATTAGAAAAAACAAAATTTCAGTTTTAGAGAAAAAAAGTAGGTAGGCACCTACAATAAAATATATTTTTATGAAGACGTGTTTATTGTCTTAATTAAATATTTTTTTAAATTTAGTTTTAACTTTAAATTCAATTATTTTCTTACAATATACCTATTTAATATATCAAATAAAATAATATCTGTCTTGCTTTATTCATAAAACATAATTATTGTATAAATTCTATTTTTTTTTTTAGAAATTGGCTTAAATTTAATTGGTAAAATTGAATCAACTGCACACAATTGTGACTCTGTAGATAAGTGTCAAGTTAATAATTCTACAACAATAATTGATTCAGTAGATTCAGATAGTATTAATTTGGCTTCAGATTTATTTCGTTCTGGTATGTGATAAAATTAAAATTGTCATTATAATTTATTTTATTCCATATGTTGTATTCTTATTACCTAGCTAACTTATTATAATTCATAGGTAATGATTTTAAATCTAAACCATCAGCCGGAACCAATCATGTAGACTTATCTAACGATCCGGATAAATATAAAATGCTTGTTGATTTATCACCTACGATAGTTGATTTTTTAATTAAAAAAGGACCTATGCAGCCAACTATTGAAGATCTTCCTACTCGTGTTTTTCCCAAAGATAAATTTGGCCGCAGTTTCCAGGCTTCATGGTATTGGAAATGTCTGCCTGGTAATGTAAATGTCAGAAGAGATTGGCTCAGTTATTCTGTATCAAGTGATAAAATGTTTTGTCATCATTGTTTATTGTTTGGGCGCAATATTAACAAAGCATGGTCTGTGGATGGAGTTGCTTCATGGCCGAGAGCTTTGAAAAGTATGCAAATTCATGAATGTTCAGAAGCACATATTGAAGCTTCCCTTAAATTAAAATTGAAAAAAATATCATTACCTATACTACCTTTATTAGAAGAAAAACATAGAAGAGACAAAGCTATAAACATAGAGATTGTTAAGGATTTGATTGATATTACTTTTTTCCTTGCAAAAAACTGTATTGCATTTCGTGGGCATAAAGAAAGTTTAAAAGAAGAATTGGGTAACCGAGGAAACTTTTTAGATTTAGTACATTTGATGTCTAAACGTTCACCATGCCTGGCTTCATATAAAACTAAATTGCAGTTATTGACAAAAAAACAAAACGTTAGTCTTATTTCAAATATAAGACAAAACCAGTTAATTGGGTCACTTGCTTCAGCAATAAGAACATCAATACAAGAAGAATTAAAAACTGCTAGGTTTTTTAGTATATCAGTTGACTCAACTTTTGATTTATCCAGGAAAGAACAAATTTCATTTGTTGTACGCTATATCAATTCAACAACAGGAACTGTATCTGAGCGGTTAATAGCGTTAAGAGAATCATCTGTTACGACTGGCTTTCAATTATTTAATATTTTTGAAAAACTCTGTGCTGACTTATCTATTGATTGGGAACAGTATTTAGTGGGACAATCTTATGATGGTGCTCAGAATATGAGAGGTCAATTTCAAGGATTAAAAACTTATGTACAACAAAAATGTCCATCTGCAACTTTTATTTGGTGTCACGCACATAGGTAATTTACATTTTAGTTTTTATAATTACTGTTCTTTTACATATATTTTTTTTCTTTTAGGTTAAACTTAATTGTCGCTAAATCTGTTGGTTGCAATATAAATGCCATAGATCTTTTTGGTAATCTAGAGTCGGTTTACAATTTTATATGTGGAAGTAAGAAAAGAGTGGCTATTTATGAAACTAAACAAGATTGTTATTGCGGTAAAAGAATTCGTAGGCTTAAGCGAGTCGCTACAACTCGTTGGATGTCACATGGATATGCCCTTGATTCAATATTAGAAACATTCAAAGCTGTCATTGAAACTCTGGATGAAGTCAGGAATAATGAAGGATGTAATGACCAAAGTACTGGACATATTGCTGGTTGTCTTATAGAATACCTTCTTTCTAAACGGTTTTTGTTAACCGCATTCTGTTTTAAGTACATTTTTGAGATTTTTGGACCAGTCAACATTTTACTACAAAGCAAGGATCTTGACTTACCTTCGGCTGTGAATAGCATACATAATGCTCAGTTAGCTGTTCAGAACCTTCGCGATAGTAATATTTTTAATAAGATATTAATTGATGTTAATAATTTTATGAACAAGTTTAGCCAATTTGAATTTTCTGATAGGCTTAATCAAAGAATTCGTCGTAAAAAAAAAATGCCAGGCGAAGAGGCTTCTGATGATCCTATAATAGATCCAATAGAAAACTTCAGAGTTAATACATTTTATGTTTGTTTGGATATAATAAATTCAGCATTTAAAGAATACTTTGGTAATGGTTCAATCGGAATTTATAAGGATTTATCATTGTTCAGTAAAAAGAGGCTAGATGAAGTGAAAAAATCTTCCAGCATCACTTCCAAAAGATGCTTTTTCAATGTTTTGTAAGGTTTACGGAAAGTATGTTGATGAGGACTGTTTGAAGAAGGAGTACATTCATTTTTCAAAGATTTTTAACTCATTTGAAGAAAATATTAATCTGCCCCAATATTTGCATGGAAAAGACCTCATAGAAAAAGAAGGAGACGAAGAAGAATTTTCATCAGAATCAGAAACTGAAATGGAAGTAATGGAACCTAAAAAAGCGCTTAATGTAGGAAGTATGAAAGCACTGTATCAAATTTTTCATGCTGGTAACTTGGGTTCAGTGTTTCCAACACTTAATAATGCCCTTCAAATTGCTTTGACACTTCCTGTTTCAAGTGCTACTACAGAACGAACATTTTCAAAGCTCAAAATTATTAAAACTCGTTTAAGAACTACCATGACTAACACACGCTTAGAAGATTTAATGTTAATCACATGTGAACAAGACTTGCACAATAATTCAAATAAAGTTTTAGAAACATTTGCATCCAAGAGTATTGAATTATCAAAAATGTTAATTTAAATAAAATATTATAATTACCTAATGGTTTTTTTTATTTATATATATTTTTTTTAAATCGATGCACTACTAGTACAGTAGCACAAAAATGTAACTAACTAAATTAAATTAGTACATTAAATGATAGGAATACAATTTAGCGATGTTTTATCGGTAGGTACTAGGTATAACAAAATTATGAGGGGTGGGTCACCTAAAATTATTTGAGCAACACCAATTTTTTTTTGGATACACGCCACTGTCCCCGGGACTCGTTTTTGAATTGAAACGACTATAGATTTAGCGGGGAACGCGAATACGTATTCGGCGGGGAGGCGAAAAGTCCGAAACGCGACTCCGTGCGGGAAAAAGGCGAAAACCGCGGAAATCGCGACGACGCCGCCGCGGCATCGGCGACGGCCTCGTCGGACGGGGGACTCGGTTTTTGAAAAAGTAGGACAGCGCGCCGGCTGTAAATCTACCGGGGAACGCGAATAAGACGCAAACGGGGCGACCCGAGGCCCCCGAGGGGGGTAAAAGTCGAAGAATCTCAAAAAAAATCTCAAACACAGTAGTAGTAGTGATAGCAGTGACGGTGATAACGAAAGGCGATCGCTAACGGCGGGGAAACGGAGCGTTTTCATTGGTTCTCCCTTAAGTAGATGCGAAATTAGTACGCGGGAGGGCGCCCTCGGGTTCACGTTTTATAGTATAAGAAGACTATAACAGATAATGAAAAATATTTTAGCATTATATTACCAAGATTTTGAAATTTTACAAGAGTGCAATCAATTGCCCCAATTGTCCTAGGAAATTTAGCAATTTTATAAAAACGTTTTTGCATGGTATTTCACTTTCAATTATCATTTTAACAAAAATAGTTCTAAGTTTTGTAATGGCAGTACTGACATCACGTACAATTAGAGAAGCAGTGGTCTTGCTAACTCCCATAAAATCTCCAGCAGTAATAAGGAAATTTCCTGTTACATAAAATCTTAGAGCCAAAAGTAATTTTTCAATGGACGTCAATGCATGATTTCTAAAATTGAGAAATAACATTTCTTTTTTTAGAACTGTAATAACGTAAAAAAAAGGAAAGATAAATAAGGCGCTTGCCAATATTTATATTAAAATAAAGTGTTAGAAATTTACCTGTCGGATCGTGAAGATATTTGATCGTTTATAAATCCCAACACTTGTATAACTACATCCTTTGAAATTCTGAACCTTGCTCGAAAATCTTCATCATCCCAGATATTCATATGATCGACTCTTGGACGAATTGTGTAAACACAACGTTGGTAGTTTAAAAAATTGACGATTTCCTAGTCATCGTCGTCAATAATTTCAAACAAATCCATATTATAAAATGTTAATTAATTAATGGAAGTAGAGCTATCCACTAAAGTCACGAATCACAAGTAAAATAGTCAATAAAAATATTCAAAATTATTACCTATTATCAACGATAATCGGTTGATAACAAATTTATTCGTTAGATTAATCTTTATTCGATGGAAATAGTACCGAATAACTATTCCATGATTTATCTGTCAAATAAACACTATCTGGACATTGAAAAACCGAAAATAATCAATTTGTTCTTATCTGTCAGATAAATCGAGTAATCTGGCGGATAAATATGATTGAAAACCGGGCCATAAAGAAACTAAATGTCTTGTTAATATCTTTATCGAAAACTGAGCTAAAAGAATCTTGAAATAGTTCATAAACAGAAACGAATATGTAAATTTAAATATGGTTAATATCTCACTCTGTTGTCATGTAACTTTGTACTATTTACATTTTGTTACATAGGTAGGCCGAATTGAACTTTAGTGTTATGACGGCTAGAATAAATATGTACTCGGTACCTATATCAAAATATATAATTAATCAGGAGTGCTTATTTTTAAGGTTATTAAGGTTTAACAATTTTCAAAGACAAACAAGATTTTCAAGGAAGAATTTGGAGTGTATCGATACGTATCGAGGCAATTTTGAGCGTTCAAGAAGTTACACGTGCAGTATATAAGCGATACGTACCGACCCGTATCGGACTCGGACTTCGATACGAGGTGGTACGTATCGATACGTATCGAATTTTTCTTCTTGAAAATCTTGAATCTAATAATCAGTGTTGAGCTCAGATAACAAAAATAATATCTAGATAAGATAGAGATAATTTCGTAAACAATTATCCAGATTCAGATTCAGATTATCATTTTTACTTTTATCTAGATATATATTGTTTTATCTTGATACCATACAGCCCATAATAGATATTTTCATTTTTGTTTAAAATATGAATAAAACAAATATATTTCTTAATTATTTTAGACGAACTATCTTATTATTTTATGACCACTCATTTAAATAAACAATTTTTTTATGCAATTCCTTATTTTAATTGTTAATCAATGATTTATTTATATATACCTATACTATACTATATAGAGTATAGGACTTGCAGTCATGCCTCATAATAGAATATTTCCAATTTCCATCACGAGTTCACGAAATAATGTGCACCGCTGGAAGACACTTTTAAGTAATAAATAACAATATTTTCAGTTTAATATAAATAGACATGAAACATAATATTATTTCCTTGAAACCATTTCTGTAATCAACATTACATGAAAAACATAATAATAAATAACTAAGAATAAACACATTCATGTCAGCGATAATGTGCCAAGATACTATACGTATATAAATACACTTACTGCTATAAAAAAATAAGTCTTAGGTACATGTTGAATTGTAAATACATATATTATTCAATAAAGTACAACGTATATTGAAAACTTATACATATAATTATAAAAAACAATAAATAAAAAAGCGGGTAAGTGGATGTTCACATTTTAGGTGTCTAGAGGGTGGCTGTTATGGATGGTATTAAATTTGAATTCAATGGTATGATATCATATTGTATACGAAAAACGTATGACAGTCTAGGATATTGTATATTGTTATTACTTATTATTAATAATACGGTAGCAGGTAGATTGAATTATGTAATATTATTTATAATATTATTTTTAAATTATCAGTGATGTTGGATAAATATTATATAAACCTATGTACAATTTGGTTGCTTTGGAACCGAATACAATAAAATGACAAAAATTGTTATTCTTTGTGTTAATATGTAATTTTGGCCAAATTTGAATTTAAAATGTCTGTAAAAAATAACTGCAAATATATATTATTTAAATTTATTAGCAACGGAAAAAACTACTTACGAGGAACCTTGTTTCAAATTTTCAATCCCTAGCTATAAAGTTGAACATTTTATAAATTTTTAACTACAAAATAATTTTTAAATTCGTCAACATTTTAACTTTCAATTCTTATAAATAGATTGTTCCTTTGTATTTTTAATATTTTTTAACTGCTATGGTAACAATATATCAGGAACCTTAGATTACATTTTTACAGTTTTTCATCTAACAAATAAAATGTTATTGACAATTATAGAAAAAAAACTAGAAAAATTAAACCTGCTATAATTTTTTTATTATTATCTTTATATATAATATTTGGAATACTTTTGAAATTAATCGGATGAAGAAAGTGGGAAAAGTTCATACACATAAAAATGGGAATAACAATTTTTTAATTTATTAATAATTTATTATAAAACTTTGATATTGAAAAACTTATGTTTAGTCTGAAAATAAACATCTTGATATATTATGCCCAGTTTATTATGAAGTTTATTTTTCGTCACAGATATTTTAGATTATAAATATTTCATAATATTTTAAGTTTCAATAAGTTATATTAAGTTTACTTATAATATTTTATAATATCATACACATAGCTACATTTAAATTAATTAACGTATATATTTTAGGCGAAAAGATGTAGAAAACCAATCATAGATCCGGGTACTTAGTTTGACATTCTTAAAAGAAAAAATAAGGATATGTTTGATAGCGGAAATTTAAGACCACCTTCGCATGACATATAGGATGATATAATAAAAGAGCTAAATTATGCTATACCAAAAAGGCAAAAAAAACTATATACATATCAGTGTTACAAAACCGAAACAACATCAAAAGTAAATAACTTAAGCTATTGGGAATAGAATTGCCTGTATTAGAGGAAAACAATGAATGTGAAAATCTAATAAACACAACTGATGAAGATTGTAGCACGGATATGAATGACGACAAAGAAAGATCTCTCTTTAAAGTTACTATACCATATAAGAATTATGTAGAATTTTAACCATCGACGGTTACTTATAAAGAAAAAGAAACATATAGATCATATGATGTTCTTAAACAAAACACATGGGTTGATATTATTAACGATGCATTTTTAAAAGATTACAAATTACCATGTAGTTTTATCTACAAATCTTGTAAGGTCAAAAGATATTTGAGTAGAAGTAAATATTTCCTTACTTTTAAAGGTAAGTGTAAAGATTGTAATTCTGAAATCTTTGGATGGAGTAATAAAAAACCACCAATAGGTGAAGCACTTGAACTCAGTATTTTGGCCAAAGACACTAGACAGAATAATGAAAGCCGTATTTCTAAAAGGCCATTACGTGGTACCGAAAGGGATATTGTTGGTAATATGCTTAAAAAAGATCTTGCGAGTAACTGGCGTCGTGATGCTGTACAACAATGGAATTTGGACAAACTTCTCCAGCGAATTTATATGATAACGATGTATTACGAAAAAGTAAGCAGCAGTATAATGATAAGACTCTTGGAATCGTAGTAAAAAACCCTGTTGACTCTCTGGTTGAACTTAAACTCAATTCAACATTTTCTGGTTCAATGCATAGTATAGGTATTGATCCATTTCTAGTGCATTATTGGGCTGGACATCAACTTATAATTTATAAGGATATTTGGAAGCAGTATGCTAAACTGTCAATAGATGCAACTGGTGGAATTGTAAAAAAATTAACTCGTTCATCATTAAATTTATCATCTGCACATATTTTTTTATACGAAGCTGTAATCAGTACAAATTATGGGCAGATTCCAGTATCCCAGATGGTATTAGAAAAGCAACATTAACAATATTCAACTGGCTAGGATGTTGGATTAAATGTGGTTTAAAGTCCCCTAACGAGGCAGTATGCGATTTTTCGATGGCTCTTTTAGGGGCAATGTCGATGGCATTCTGAAAAAATAATGACATTAATTCATACATCGAACAATGTTTTGATGTGTTAATGGGATATAATACGAATCTACCGAATTGCTATATACGTGTTGAGGTTGCACACGTCATGAAAATGTTCTGTCAAGATAAGAATTTACAAGGAAGTAAAAACTGGACACTTAAACAGTTTTACGTTAGAAGTATGCGACTTCTTGTAACATCAACAAGCATAGAGGATTTTAAACAAACATTAATTAATCTATTGAATGTTATGTTGAGTGAAACAGATGGCTGGACAGAGGATAAAGTAGAAACTCCCTCAGAAACGAGTAGACAGTACTTATTAAACCAAATTAAAGGCGTTGAAGTAACAGAAAACTTAAATGAAGGAGCAGATGAGCAGTATAATAATTTGGAAAACGATGATAGCGACACCAATGATGTCACAACAAGCCATATAACTGACTTTATAAACGATATTGTAAGTGTGTGTAAGGAGAATTCGAAAATTATAGGCGATCGTTTGTCGGCTTATTATCTTCCAGATCTGTCACGAGATATCGCTACTCTAAATATTTTACATTATGGAGCAACGTAATGCACTAATGCAACCCACTTTTAGGTCCCCTCACAAAAATGCTTCATCAGTTCCAGTTGAATCCGATTTTTCTGAACTAAAAAAAAATAATATTACGCTTCAATAGCCAACCTATGACAGCTGACCGATTTATCGCCAAACATTTAATTTATATTAAAAACAATTGCAAGTTGTTCAGAAGTGAACAAATAAAAAATGATCGTGAAGAATTTAAAATATTGGGCACTAATACTGAGGATAAAATAAACATACAGTTGGAAGAAGATAAAGTCGAAACTTACAAATCCAAAGCTGAAGTTTTTAACGTTTTTGACACTTATGTAAACAAAAACTCAATTTTAAATAATGGAACTGACAAAACATACAAAAAAAAAAAAATAACGAGATTGATAATTCCGAAATTGGATCTGAATATAGTATAACTGAAGCCAATTACTTAGGTAATGCATTTGGAGACACAAATGTATGTAAGGATAATGATACAAGAATAAACAATAGGGCACAGGAAGAAATTCACCATTTTGG